TGGGGCTGGAGAGAGCCAGGTCTCCGAGCAGGAAGTGGCCGGAGTGCTGCGGTCAGGGCAGTCTCCCGAGGTAACTGCCGGGTCAGACGCCCTCTTCCCCCAGGACCGCCGGCCCCTGGGATGTGGGGCCTGCAGCCGGCCTCGGGCTCAGAGAACCTCCTCCCAGCACCTCTCCCTGTGGACTCCTCTGGGTCAGAACTTCTGAGCAAACCCAAGCCCCTCGTGTGGGAGTGGTAGCACGAGGGACAAGGCACCCGTGAGGGCAGTACCTGTGCGACCTCTGAGGGGGGTGTGGCCTCAGATGCTTCCGCACCAGCTGGCCCTCCCCTGGGAGCTCCCTTTGCGCAGGGGCTATGCCTCCATCGACAGGGCTCCCTGAGGCTGGGCTGTCTTCCTTCTGCTCCTCCCAGATGCCCAGGGGCAGGAAAGGACCAGAAACTGAGTCGGAAAGGGTGGGGGAGGCACCCACAGAGGCTGGTCTTTCCCGCCAGCTCGTGGGTTATTTGTCCTCACAAGTGAGCAGGAGCCCATGACACGAAGAGCCTAGTGACACATCTGCTCCTTCCTTCACGGAGCCCAGGGCCCTCCCTCCCGTAGCGCTGGGTGCTGGCCAGGTCAGGAGGTGCCCTTGGGGACGTGGCGCAGACATTCCCAGATGCCGGGCGATGCCATGGGGCCCAGGCAGTGAGATTCTCAGCTGGATCTCGGGGCCCAGACGTCCAGCCCCTCCTGGGCCCTTCACCCACACTCCTCTGGGCAAAGTTAATGCTAAAGACGTGGCCCCTGGAGTATGCCAGAGCCTCTGCTGCCCTGGATTGTATCTGGTTTCCTGTGCTCCTTGGGGAGGAAGAGTTTCTTGGCAGGAAGTAGTTTAATGGTCTGAAAGCCTTACTTCCTGGTCTTGAGGTCCAAGTTTTCAGTTACAAGTGGCTGAGATCCCTGCCGAGGAGGGAGGCAGGGGGAGAGGACGGGAGCAATGATAGCCTCCACCTCAGACGCCAGCGAAGAGGAGGCCAGACAGGGTTCGGCCGGTGCCACCCAAGCCTCAGAGCAGCAGAGGGTGCTGCCCCCCGACGCCCACCCAGCCGTGGGCTCCTTGCGGGAGTCGGCGACAGGGAAGCGGAGGACGGCCAGGCCTTGGGGCCCTGCCCAGGTTTCAGCAGTTGGCTGGACGCTTCCTCACCCCATGCCTTTCCCAACCCCCTGCACGATTCTCTCTCTTTCCTTCTGAGTCAACACAAATCTACGAAGAGGCTGGCAGTCCTCGCTGGCAGGAAGTCCTCTGTGGTGACTACTCAGTTCTCCCCGCTCCAGTGTTGTGCCGAACCTTTGGGGCCGAACCAGGAACACGGGGATCATGTAGGTGTTTCCACGGAAGGCCTTTGAGGCCTGGAATTGGCCACAGCCGTGATAAAGCACCCGAAGCCAGGCAGGGGCAGCGAGGAGCAGAGGTCGGCACCACCAGCAGGTGCCCCGAGCCTGGGCTGCCGGGCGCAGGGGGAGGCGGGTCTGGGACCCAGGGCTGCAATGTGGTGGCCTCCCTGTGGGAGGTGGAGCCAAGGAGGAGACACAGCTGCTGCCTGGCACCCGTGGCCTCGGTGACAGAGAGGGAGGAACTGTCCTGGCTTCTGTCCCTTCCCGTGGGCACTGCAGTGCCTCCCGAGGACCCACCTGGCTCACGAGCCGGGGAAATGCCACCGTGGGGGCTCAGACCATGGGACGCAGAGCAGGGCTTCAGGACCAGCGTGCTCCAGCCGCTCCTCCGTCCTCGGCCCAGCAAAGGGGCTGTAGGGCTTAGAACAAACCCCAGAACCTTGACAGTGACCCGCCCAGCCCTGGGTACCAACCCAGATCACACCTGTGGCCCCGCCTCCCGCTCTGGCCCCCTCCTCACCAGTCACTCTTCCTGGAGCCCAGGGTTTGTAGTCTTGGCCTCTAACCCCATTTCTGAGCCTTTCACTTGCTCTGGCACCAGCTACAGTGGGAACGACTTTCCCCTCCAGCCAGGCTCGCTCTCGGCATCGGGGGACCCCCCTCCCCCGCCTTTCCTTCAGGCTCTGCCCTCCCTCCCCCCACTGTCCTTCCACGTTGATCTTCGACAGGAGATACTAGTAGATTGACTCATGCCCTGGAGCTGGAGTTATCTCTGCTCCTAAGAATTACAGAGAGGGCAGCTCTCAGCCCGAAGCACAGGCTCGCAGTGTGGGTCTCAGGCCCTGAGGGGTTGGAGGTGCTGGGCCGTCCCTTTGATGGTATCTTCAAGGAGCTGCCTGTGGACAGGGCCCCACTGGGAGTGTCACTGCCTCCTGTGGCTCCCCCTCGGCTGGGCAGCTCACTCCTGAGGGCAGCGTCTCGTCTCACCTCGAGGGCTAGTTCCCAGCACAGCCCCGAGGTGGCCAGGCCTTGCACCCTGATTTGGGAGGGACACCCCGAGTGTCGGAGGCACATCAGCGTGCCTCACCCTCTGTGCACCCTCCGCTTTTCTTTCTCACGTGGAGGAGAGGGGGGCTGCTCCCTAGCCGGCGGGGGGTGGGGTGGGAGAGGCAGCCCTTCCTGTGAGAACCTGCCCCACCTCAGCCAAGGTCCTGCGTCCGGCCCTTTCCCACCATGGAGAAAATAGCAAGAAAAACAGATGAGAACTGATACCCTGGCTGCAGGGTCTGCTGGGACCTGGCCCTGGAGGAGCCCAGGAACGAGGTGATTTAGGGGCTCCAGGAAGTCAGGAAGGGAGGGGGGCCCTCTCTCACTAGGAGTGGCCTCCCCGCCGCCTCCCACCTGGACACTGTCAGTACCACCTCCTCTCTCGGTGGGTCCTCATGGCCCACCCCCATCTCTGGAGGTTCTTCTTAGAACAGGGCCAGCCGTTCCCACGTGTGAACTTGTAGGAAAGGGACCTTCTCGCTCTGCCGATCATCCTGCATCCAAACAGCCCAGGCAGCTGTCGCCCTGAGGAGAGCGGGTCTCGGAGCAGGAGACATGGCACACGATGGCCGCCTCTGGGTCTTGAATCTGAAATTGGGGCTCCTCCCAGCATGCTACGGGGTTCCCCGAGGCATGAATGTAAAAGGGCTTGTCGACCATAAACGCGCTATAAACCCTGCAGATGTGGGTGGTGCCCGGGTCTCTGTGTCCCTCCGCCTTCTTCTCTCTCCCCTTTGGTCTGGCCCCGTAGACTCATGGCCAAGCTGCTTGGGGACATTGGAGACACTCGAGTCTCAGGACCAAGCCTGAGCCAGATGCTGCAGAGCTTGCGTTTGCTGAGCACCTTGCGATCCCAGAGGGTTCCAGGTGGGAATGTTTCAAGGGGCTTGGAGGTGTGGGAGCCCAGGCCCAGGAGTACCGGGGGGTGTTTATACGTGTTATCGGGTCCTCACCCTCTGACGTGGGTCCCGCGGGCCCATTTCTCAGAGGAGGAGTTGATGTAGTAGCTTGCAGACTTGGGGGCCAGACTTGGTCTCCTTCCAGCATATGCCCCAGGCAGGCCTTCCTGCTGGGGTCCCTGTGGAGGGAACGGCTTCAGCTGTAGCAGAGCAAAGGTGCAGGCAAAAAGATCCCCAGGCAGGCGCGGCCAGTGGGGCAGCCCTCAGGGCTGTGCTGTGGGGACACAGGACGCAGGATCACAGGGGAGGGGAGGAGGGGGAGTCACCTGGGGTCCTCAGTGTCCCCACCAGAAAGATAAGGAGATTAGAAATGAGGGTCCCATCCACTTCGCTTTGCAGATTCCTCCCACCCCAAACCGCCCCTCCCTCCCCTTCCTGTGAAGCCTTCGGGGAACAGGGGGCTGTGGTGGAAAGGCCCCAGGAGGAAGGGCCTTGGGCGTCATCGCTGGGAAGGCGAGAGCCACGGGCACAGGAAGAGAAGCAGCTGGAGGGAGCCCCTCACACCCTGGGTCCCAGTAGCTGTTTACAGGCTCACGGGGCAGCCAGCGCTGGCTTGGAAGCCGCTTTGGAAAATAACCACCGGCCGCTGTGCTGAGCCAGCTCCTCTCGCGGAGCGGGCCCGGCCTTTGGCTCCTTCTCCGAGGCCGTGTGTGGCCAGAGGACACGCTGGCTGCTGGCCGGGCTTGCTTCACGGGAAGTGGGGACATGGACACCCTCGGCCTCAGTGGGGGGTGCGGGGTCGTCACCTCGGTAGATTCTGTATCACCCACATGTTTACATCGCGCGTGTGTCCTGTCATGTGAAAGCTCGTTCCCTCGACATCTTCCCTTGCGTTTCCTTTCAAGGACAGGTCACAGCCTGCAGCTGCCTGTTGCCTTATCTCCTCCTTTTGTGTTCTCTGTGTCTTCTCCCAAAGGTGAGCTGAGAGAGGCGGGTCCTCGTCTCACTCCCAGCGGAGAGCAGTGCCCGGGACCCACAGCACGCAGAGCTTGCTGGACATGAGCACAGCTTTCTCTCCCGAGAGCCATTCCCAAGGGGCCCGGGCGTAAGGGGCCCGGGCGTGCACAGCTGGTCCTTGAGTCCAAGCCGTGTGCAGTGACCGGGAGGGGAGGGGAGGGGAAGGGCGGGCGGAGGAGCTGGGCGATGGGGGGCTGGCCGGGGAGTGGACGAGCCCAGAGGAGGGTGTGGATGCTTCCTGAGTGTTGCCGCCCGGGGAGGTGGCTTGTGCACCAGTGGCTGAGTGGCCAGTGGGGACAGGAGTTGGGAAGCCCTGGCAGGTCACAGGGCGCCGTGCACCTCCGCGTCTTCACCTGCTGGTGCTTCCCACCCACGAGGGGGTCATGAAACAGGGATGAGGCCACCAGGGGACACGCCCAGCACACACGGCGATTTCACTTTGGTGATTTTATTAAAACTCCTAAAGAGCGTCCTCTGCTTTCGGTTATGATTTCTATCATCAACCAAGAGAGGTGAGCCAGTGCGTGTCCAAATCTCAGATCCTGAGAAATTGGCACTTTAGCCAAAGACACACATTCCCCGCTCCCTGGGCCCTGGCGGGGGTGGCCTCCCCTGGGGGGGGGGGGGAGCCTCACGGGGACTCACACTGCCCTCCCTCCCCAGGTACAAGACGGTGGTGACGCCCCGCAGGGCCGCGGTGGCCATCGCCGGCTGCTGGATCCTCTCCCTCGGGGGGGGCCTGACGCCCATGTTTGGCTGGAACAACCTGGGTGCGGTGCAGCGGGCCTGGGCGGCCAACGGCAGCGCCGGGGAGCCCGTGATCAAGTGCGAGTTTGAGAAGGTCATCAGCATGGAGTACATGGTCTACTTCAACTTCTTCGTCTGGGTGCTGCCGCCGCTGCTGGTGCTGGTGCTTCCGCGCTGGTGTCGTGGTCGCCGCTGCCGTGAGTCAGGCTGCGCCTGGTTCCTCAGCTCTCGGTGTCCTCGGGCCCACCGCTGCGCCTCGA